TCCTTCCTTCCTTCCTTCCTTCCTTCCTTCCTTCCTTCCTTCCTTCCAGAATGAACTTCAATATAGAGTTAAAAAGAAGTAAACAAAGAAGCAAACTTGAGTTGTACCACCAAATTCTATGCAGAACTAATTTTAACTTCTAATCTGTGGAAACACTGTATACAATATTTACATACTATCTACAACAAGTTTGCATTAGGCTCATAGACAGCAATGTCACATGGTGCAAAAGTGATTTCCTTTTTCTGCCACAAGTGTTACAAAATGTGCTTTCTGGATTCAACTGGCAATTTGCAGTACAACTTTCAGAGTTCCATAGTTAGTCATTCCAATTCATTTTGGGTGGCTGGATATGAAAGAACAGTGGCTTCTAGTTATTCTAAAATCCGTAATGGCCTCTGACGAGATATACTGTATAATTCCTATTTTTAATATAATTCCTTTTTTAAATCTTCAGATTTTTTTTCTAAGTACGTCTCAGGTTATTTTTGCTTTTTAATACATGCTTTGTGTATGGTTCTTCAGTGCTTGATCTTCTTTCCCCAGAGTACAGTACACAAACATTAATATCAGGACATGGTCTGTTTTCTACAAGAGCATCTTCCAAATGCTTCATGCACGATGCAGAATGCAGAAACTCAGAGTCTGAAGCACGCTTATCTTTTGATTCAGCATCAGTGACGCAAGATGTAACAGTGAGAAACAAGCAGTGATTCTGATAAGCAAAGTCCTTAGTGCCAATTAGGACATCATGCAAATGGCAGCCCTCCACCCTGTCCAAACCATGCATCTGACAAAAGCAGTTCTCACTTTACCTGTAACACTCCACCACTGGTGAGGAAAGGGCCTTAGAAGACATTATCTATACCACAAACACATGAATGCCTGTGTCAGTTCCAGGATGCACATTACAACCATATTAGCAAGAGCTACCAAGGCATGTAGCTATTACATTATTTAACTGCAATGTAGCTAAGACATCAAACAAATAATTTTAGTGGTACTGAAAATGAGAACTATGCACCTTATTTTCTATTATTTTAGAATTGTGAGAAGATACATTGGTATTTAAAAACTTAACTTCAGAAAAAAATATTGAAATACATAAAATAAAATACAATAAAATGTGTATTTTTTGGTGTTCAAAGTAAAATGTAAGGAAATTAAAAAATATTGAGAAAACTGTGGTATTCCCTTAACATCTACTAAACAATCACAAGCTACAGAACAGGCTACGATCACAGTACTAACTGTAATCTCCTTCAGGATATAATTTATGCATGGGATTAAGCTCACTACTTTTGAAGAAAGTGCATGATTGTGCTCCTAAGTTTCTTCAAACTTAATTCTTGTCTGGAACTGCATTAATGTCTGGCTTCAAAACTGCACTGCAAAAACTCCAGGAGTAAATCACCTTGGTAGTCAGACAAATTAAAAGCCCTGAGCCCAAGAGAAAACAACTATCTGCAATGATGAGGGCCTATTTATTGATTCTACATGAGTACCAATGGGAACTCTCTGTTGGCAGACCCAAAGATATTTTGCAGCAGCAAGGGCACGGTGCTCACCTCCTCGGTCATGTCAGACAAGTCCACAGGAACATCTGAGGTACGGAACGCAATCTATTGCTATTAAGTTTATAGTATAGATTTCTAGACAAAAATTGTTGTGTGCCTAACGGAACCAAGAAATGATCATCAATAAAAATAGGATACTTTCTGGAGAGTATGCTATGTAAATAGAAGGAAGACTGGAACATCAGAAATGAGATATTGGGAACTTCCAGTAAATTCATATAATTCATTTCTAGAAAAGTGCTAGTAACATACATTTTAAAACAAGAAAATAAATCCCCTTGGGTTAAATATGTATGTAGATTTTATTTCTGCTACATTTTAGGAGAGGATTCTGTGCTAATTTTATGTAACTGTGAGATAAGATGACATGAGTTAACAAAAACTCAGTAACAAAAAAAAACTTAAATAGTATTTCATAAGATATTTAGGTGATTTTTTGAAATAGTTTGATACAAGCAAACAAACTTGCAAATCATTCTAGCTCCTCTCTTTTTGTGTTCCTTTAGAGTGTCCTTAAAATAAGCACATTTTTACAGCATGAGTGGAATACTGATGCCTTTTATTACATACACTGCTGACGTCTGAATAGATAAGCAGTAAATACTGCATGCTATTTCTAGGACGGAAAAACTGTGTGTACTCTGGGAAAGCGTTATTAATTTCCAAGCAGCTTCCACTTGTTTCTTTACCCGTGAATGTGTTACAGTCAAATGGAAGCAGTTTTGCTGAGTGAATCAACTGAGGACTTGGATTTGGAATACTTGATTCCTATTTCCAACTGTGCTGCTAGCTTGCATGATACCTTGGATAACAAGCGTCATCCCTCTGTGCTTTGGTTACTATGTGTTTACAAAAGGATAACAGAACTTCTCTTCTTTTATCCAGAAAGGGGAAAGTACTATAGAAAAAAACTGAAACATACTCAGATCAGAACTATACGTGAGTTGTATTGCTTATTTAGTTAAGATTCTTATTAAACAGTAACACGTATATTAAAAACACTGCAATAATAAAAATTAGTGATTTTTTCTCACATTAATCTTTGTGTGATCTAGTGTACCTTTAACACAAAAGTAAGTATCCACAGATCTACTGTGTACAGTACAAGAACTCACCTGTATGGCTACTTCGTTTGCAGTATGTATTTGTTGTAGATTTGGATTTGGATGTTAAGTATGTTGAATTGGAGCCAATGGAACTAGATGATAGGGATTTCCCAAGATTATCAGAACTCTTCTTTATGATATTTGTTGCTGTCTTGCTCCAATCTGAAAATGATTGAAAAGTTTAACATGCATAATTACTATCAGTAATCGTACTAAATGCCTAATGTATTCAATTACATACATTTCAAGCATTAGATGCATTAGAAGCATTTACAGTGGTCTTACTGTTTGAGGGACTGATCTGCTGAAGTAGATAATATACAAGCAATTTGTTCTCGTTGTTACAGAGTTTTGCATATTGTTACACCATTAATTACAATGAATAATAATGGTCACACAGTATACCAAATTTTGGCACAACCATTAACAGTATAGGTTCTTGTGTTGGAGCAACTTCAGAAATTAAATGAATTAACTAACACAAATAAAATTATTGGTGAAAAATGACAATGAAAATCTTGTCATATGTTTCCCAATACCAGTATCCCTCAGAATAAATGAACTACTATTTCTGCATCATATACTTGCAGGTAGATACGAGTAGTTTCACACAGTGATCTTGGTTATCATTCTAATTCACTATATATGCTACAGTGAAAATCACAGAAGGCATATAATTAACATTGTCTGCTTTAGCTCTGACTTAAATCCAGAGAAAGCTTTTACCCTAAAACATTGCTACAGTGTATAAGTTACTACTTCTCTGATTTAGCAATGGCACTCTTGCAGTGTTTGTTTCTTTGCTTAATCATAACAGGCCCTAAAGTTCACTTCAATCAGATAAGAATGCAGGATCACATCTGGCTCACTGCTTTGTCTGCAAACTCTGTCAGATTCACAGAGAATAAAACCAACCAGACGTGATGGCCTGGCTGCAATGACAGTGCATTAATTACATCACAGACATACTCAAATCCTTCAGGTTCTTATTTCTATCATCTCCACAGGCTGCCCAACAGCAGCATAAAAATCTGGAAATAATTTGGTCTATCTGTGTTTTCCAGTTCAGAAGTTACAACACGAACCACATGGAAACTGAACATAAGAAATAATTTGGATGCCTGTTCAGAATGAATTCATTTTTCCTAGTTTGTATTAACTCTTTGAAATCATGACTCAGACCTTTTTACTGTAACGAAAGCATAAAAGTTTCATAATTTACAAGTTTACACTGAGAATGCATCTCCTAAACAAAACTGAACATGGCAAAGCTAAACTCTTGATAGCAAGGCATTTGCTGATAACTTCGAAACATCATTTGGATATCAAGACAAGAAGGACACTGAAGTAGTTGGAGCACTGCAGTAACTCAGGATGGGCTGGTTTACCTCGACAGGCAAGGAGCTCATGCCACTTTATATTATCTGTGGAATTGGATCCCAGTCACTGAGCAAGAATTGTGCAGTCCAAAACTATGAAATCATATATAGCAAAGGAGGACACAGGAGTCTAACATCATCCAAGATGGCCAAAGGTTAGGAGACACTCTGCAGTGCCCAAACAAACTGCTGCAAAGGACTGCTCTCCTTCCATACAGATAAAGATGAACATCACTTCTGGAACCTAACCTGATTTCTGCAACAGGAATTTCCTACTTCTGAGCCTCTGCTGCTCTCTCTCATTAACATGGTGAAGGTCAGAACAGTTTCAAATAACTTTTCAGAATCAATCTTCCATCAATCCAATAGTCAACAATTTAGTCATCATAATTTAGTTAACAGGGAAAAAGGATTAGTATTAGTTTCTGAATGACAGAATTTGATTGTCTGGACCTTTATTCATTTTTTTTAAGGCTCCAGAAGGCCTTCCAAAACCATTTGTGTAGCACTACAATTTTCGGTAGAAAACTGAAAGAAAAGTTTTGAGATTTTTTATGAAGTGACATTTGAAAAATCCCTTGGCAATTGTTGTTTTTGAAGTGGAGTGATATCCTACGATTAATCTATTTTTCAACATTTCTGGTTTATACGGTATTATATTAAAAACGACACAGCAAGCTGGTTGCTTGGACTTTTCCAGACTACTGCATAAAACAAGGAATCATGACTTGTTTTTACCTGAATTGTCTGCCAGTCGGAATCTGCCGCAACATAGATGTCTCCTCCATTGTTTTTGCACGTTTTCTTTCATTGCACAGTGGAATACAAATATAAATAAACCTTCAACAAAAGCAAATAAAACATGTATTCTAAATGGATAAGTAAATTGTCTAAAATCTGATAACAAAAGACTATGAAGTACAAGCAAAAACAAATCTTGTCATCTATACACATGCCTCATCCAATATGTTTGGGAATTAATTAAAGCTTTCCCATCCTCTTGCTGCTATACAAGTGTCTGGTGTATCAGAAGAGAGAGATGAGAGCCCTTTAATTGACATTCATATTCAGCTGATTCATACTCAGCTCTCTGCGGATCTTTTAATTATGTTTTGGCTTAAATGTAAACCATTAAATGTTTTGTCTTTGAAGTAGATGTAAACTTTGCACTCAATGGGACTGCAAGAACCAGACTGCAAAGTAAATACAGACTCTGTTTTGTTAGCGAGAAGATATTTCCCCTCCTCCCATTCTATATCCACAGTACTGTGGGCTGTGTACATTCATAACCCGAAATCCTGAAGTTGGCACTTAAGCATGCTCTCATATTTACATGTATCACATGAATGTACTTGAAATGATTATGAGAATGGTAAGAATATGTTTGCAAGTACTAATTAGATGTGCAGATACTTTTGAACAAAATTACCTGTTTTGTGCACGCAACTGCAATAAAAGAATTTAAGAATATTTTTGTAGTTTTCACTTTTTTAAGAAATAAAGCTATTTACATTCAAGATAGAAGACGGGCATCTACCATTGGGTAAATAGGTATCCAGTAGGTCATAAGGTACAAGTTAATCATCCTACAGAGATATTTTGGAGCTAAATATAGCACTTGGACATCTCTTGTGCTCTTGGCACCCTCAGGCACCAGCTGTGGAATCTTCCATCCTACCCTGTCCTGGTCTGTTCTCATTCTACTCTTATTCCCTGGGAGCCAGCCAACATAAGGCTGAATATCTGATGACAAATGTTACTACCAAATCCCACATGATTATATCTTAAAGGCAAGTAAATGCAAAAAATAAATCAATAAGGTAACATAATTAAGTGCCATCCTCAAAGACTGCTCCTTTAAGACGTTCACAGAATCACAGAATCACCCGGGTTGGAAGGGACCTCAAGGATCATGAAGCTCCAACACTCCCTGCCACAGGCAGGGCGACCAACCTCCCCATTTAATACTACACCAGGCAGCCCAGGGTCCCATCCAATCTGGCCTTGAACACCTCTAGGGACGGGACATCCACTACCTCTCTGGGCAGCCTGTTCCAGCACCTCATCATTCTCATAGTAAAGAACTTCCCCCTAACATCCAAACTAAATCTTCCCTCCCTCCAATTAAAAGTATTTCCCCTTGTCCTGCAGTTATCTACCCTTTCAAAGAGTTGATTCCCCTCCTGTTTATAGCCTCTCTTTAGGTATTGAAAGGCTGCAGTGAGGATACCCTGCACCCTTTTCTCCAGGCTGAACAAGTCCAGCTCTCTCAGTCTGTCTTGCAGGAGAAGTGCTCCAGTCCCCTGATCATCTTTGTGGCCCTCCTCTGGACCCTCTCCAACATATGTTAATGGACCACTAAGTTTCAGCTAGTAAGAATGCAATGGCAGGATATAGGTTGGAAAAGCAGATCTGGTACATAAAATTATCCTATTTCCTCCAAAATGCTGAGGTAATTTTGGTTGGTCATTGAATGTTGGTCATTGAATTTTGAGTGTATTTGCTTATGGCATTCAGGCCAGGCTGAGACCACCTAGGTTAGAGAACCAAGACAGTTAACTTTGCTAACATTTTGCATTAATGAAAAATGTCAAAAGAAAAATGAGAAGAACAATGTAAGGAAGGTACCTTAATGCATAAAACATGCAAGCTCTGTTCAAATCTGTTTATTGTGTTTGCAGTTAGTAAGATATTTCTGTGTGCGCTTTGTTTAAGCACAGAGTAACTCCAACACAATCTCTAGCAGCCTTTACTTGCTCAGAGAGGTGCAGCTGTTTGTACCCTAAGTACTTCTTAGGACTTCTGCATTACTACCAACTTATTAAACTGATATTTAATTAAATTGTGGTGAGTATTTGGAACATTTTGAATGGTTAAAAAAGAAAATGCCAATGTCTAGAGCATTATAAAACAAATGCACTACATTATGTACTTTGCCTTTGCCCTGTCTGGGCATGGTCTCTGAAATGTTTTTCTCTGTATTTCATTATTCATTAAGTTTACAATGTGCTTTAGTAACACAGCTTTGGTTTTGTTTCCCAGAGACAAATCAGACCCTAGGCTTGGCTCTAGCATGGCCCTAACTTGAAAGCACTTGGCTTGCCCAGGCATATATAAAATGAGCAGCCAAAAAAAGAGATGTTCCCAGATTTTTTACTATAAGTGTCAAAGAGAGAAAAATCATTTCCTATGTAGATGTAATAGCAAAGTACAGTAACACAGTAGTTGCAGCACTGTACTGTTTTCACTGCCAGTGCACAGAAAACTAGGTCGGTGGAGGCTTCTGGTACAGCTTAAAACACTAGCACAGCTTTCATAAACATGAGAGAGAGAATAGACACATTTATGGAAGGCTCAGTAATTAAGCTCATATTAATAATGATGAAAGACCTCCACACTGAATTATTTTCGGATGCTAGAAAATGCTTCCTGATGCAAATGCTTAATTTTCCTTCTGCGCTATTTTATCCTCTTACTTCTAGGTAGATACGTGCTGCACCAGTTACTGGTGATTTGAGATGTTCTTTTCCTGGTTTCTTCAGCTTTGCCTAAAGCTAAAGACACAGCAATAAGCATTTCCAGATACAGGATTATTATCTTCCTATGCTTGTTATGACCTGTATGAATGTATACTATGCCATCTTTGCTACAGCAATCCATGAAAAGCACATCTCTCATCTTCTTGTGTTTACTTCTCAGGGTTTTTGGTTTCATCTTCTGACCTACTGTTTTTCCATTTGACAGTGCTATTACCCCACAGAGACTTAAGCAGTGGTGGTCAACCTTGTGTGCACTCTGCACACACATGCTTAATTGATTGCACTGGAAAATCTGCTTAAAGAATACTTGCTGAATTTGATCCTTGGCATGCTCTTCAGAGTTTTAATCTTTTTTTCATGTTCTTCCCATGCTTTTAATCTCTCTAGGCCTTTCTGAATTTCTGACACAGACACATTACAGCAAATACCTCATTATGTGCCTGGGGGAGTATTAGACTTTGTCCACTGGAAAAAAAGTCTTTAGTAAAAACACCACATTCAAACAATTTTTGCCATTCTGCCTAGCCTTTCAGGTTGAAACTGAACCAAAACAAAACTGACAACATCATTCTCTTTCCACGAAAGCTCAATAAATCTTTTTAGTGCAGTAAATATGTTTCAGCCCTAACAGATAAAAACCACAGTGTTACATTAAGTACTCCATTAAGGGAAGCTATTTTGCTGACCTTGGGAAATTATGTATTTTTTTATCTCAGTGTTTGTGTGGCATAACACATGCTCCTCCAATGACATCCTTGGGTTTACTTTTTGTTTTGCCTTTTTTCTTTTTTCCTGAGTAAACTAATATTTTTCATTTTAATATGTGTGTGGTTCAACACATACCCCTCCAGTGACCTTTGTGGGTTCTCCATATGCTTTTGTTCTTCTGTATTAACGAGTAGGGTAAGCAGAGATGGAGATTTTAACATCATTTGGTACAGAGTAAATCAGCTCTGAACTGAAATTCTTCTAAATGTCAACAATATGATTCTGTAAACTATAATTGATTGCAATTTATAGCATTTTTCAGAAGAATTAACCACACTGAAAAAGTAAAATACTCAAAACTTCAGCAAAAGTAAACACAAAAACCCGCCTACAACAGTCACTGGATTTTCCTTGAGGAACCAAATAATATAATTTATCTCTGTGCTATCTCTCCACATTGACACAGGACTAGATTTTTCCTTATGAGCTTCTCATGGCTTAATAAAATAGTTATGAGCCTTACAAATTCCCTACAGGAAAAAATATAGGAAAGAGACTTCCTATATTTGTTGTAATCAATGAAAGGAAATGTTGAAGGTCATACAGAATCTATCAGCAGAAATCACTGCAGACTGTTAGCTAGGAATAGCACTATTTATAATACTGTGCATTTTATTTAAAAGGCCTTGAAATGTTAATTGATCTAACAAAGACCTTCAACCCATATGTTGTAGGTACAAGTGTTCTACAAAACAGTAAACTAATGATGTTTCAGTACCAGGGTAAGATCCAGAGAACTTGGGTTTGAGTTCCCTAGATGGATCACTGGATGTAAGATCTCCCAGAACAACAATGGCTCAAGTATTGTTTGTTCACAAGAAAAAGAAATTCTGCTTACCTTGAAGTGAATTGAAAATGGAAAAGAGGTATAAGAAGGGCAGAGTTAAGGGACCCCAGGCGAAAAAGGCAAAGCCCCATGTCATGCCCAAGAGGAAGGTCAGGCTGACCACACTACGGAGATTCCTCAGGATCTCTTCCTTTAGAGTTCGATTAGTTCTTTTCCCATTCCTCCCACAGATCTGCACCATCACTACTACAAACATGGCAACATTCAAGAGAAACATGATTCCAAAGTATCCGGCACCAGTCACATAAAAGACAACCTTATTCTTGATCCAACAGCTGTAAAAAAGAAGTACAATCATTTTTAGGTAGCACATAACATCATTTATTCAACTACAAGGAAAATGTGTCTACATCTGGTTTCTCTTCTGCAGAGCTATAATTTCAAATGAAAAATTTCAAATTTCAAGTTAATTATTTGAAATTCTTTGCACTTCGGACTAAAAAAATTTAGGAGACAATTTTGTCCATTTTGCTTGTTTTATTCACATGTGAGTTTTCCAAAGCTATCTGGATAATGCTTTTTCTTTTCTCCATGCTGAATGCTAAATTGTAAGAGATTGTAAATACTTACAAGTCGTCTCCTTGCCCAGTAGCATCTCTGCCATACAATTCTTTTCCATAAACGTGACTTGCATTTTTATTTGTGCTCGCTAAAACAATTGCTATCACTAGAGCTGGCAAACCTGTAATACAAGAACACTGTAGTTTGCTCTCAAATCTCTTGAACTTTCAAGATTACCGTGCAAAGCTAAATTATCAATGTTTCCAACAGTAGTGCTTTAGTAAAGAGTATCACAAGGTAGCTCTATGTCAGAAAACTACATAAAACTACTTAATGTCCTTTCTTTAAGTTAGAAAATGCTATATTAGGATGTGACAAGGTATTTCTCTCAAAGAACTTGCACACAGGCTCTCATAATGAAGAAAGGAGACTAACAAATTACTGAAACAATAAGATCAAAGAAGAGTTGGGATTGGGATATTTTTGGAGGGATTTCTTTCCAGAGATGTTGATGTCATTTAAGAAGGATGAGAAACCAGGGAACATGAACTCAAACCTGTAATTTCTGCTCTGCTTCTCTCAGCTGAAAATATCTTCATGTTTTCTAAAACATTAGATGCCCTTTACTTCAACACAAACCAAAAAAAAAAAAAAAAAAAAAAAGTAAAAAGAAGACTATTTCTGTTTTATCAATATAGTAAAAAGAATATTTTGGGAAAATAATAAGAAAACCATGTGGAAGAGAACTATGTGTAGAGGGAGATACAGCTCAGATGGAGCAAATGCACATTTCCTGACATGCCTTATTTACATGCCTTATTCCTGCAATGACAAAACAGATTCAAAGGGGGAAGAGGTTAATTTGCTTTTCCTACCACTCAGTCCATGTCCTCTGCTAATGTTGCCAAAAAGGATGCTAGTTGCCGATGGAAAGACATCAATTACCAGCTGGACTGAGGTCAGTGCTCTAGTCATGAGGTTAATGGTTTTGTATTGTACTGTATTATTTCAAACACAATATGTGCTTTCAGACAGAAAGCACAGATTCCTGATATAAAAAAAAATGAAGAATAAAAGCCTTTCTGCTTGAGCCTTACAATTATTTTTCAGTATTACATTTTCCAATTCGGTCCTTCAGTGTATACTTCTTAGGGCAGGAAGAATTTCTCTGTTGTTTAAAAACTGCTGAAGTTCAGGAAAGTTTGATCACTTCTGATTCCGCCATATATTTTTGGCAAGAAACTGCAGGCTCAACTGAGATCTTCTTGAAAGCCAGTGTGAAGATATGAATTTATTTTGTGCCACAGTTTTCTATCTCTGACATGGCAGGAACATGCTGGCTTCTTTGGAAACACTAGTGTATCTGGTCTCTCTGCTTCTCCTAAGGCAGAGATTGCCAGTTCCAATGTGTTTTCACTGAACCATCCACAGGAACTCTGGTCTCCGTGACAGAGTCCTCAGCTGGATGTGTGCCAGCACCTCAGGGTGAGGGAAGGAAACTTTAGACTGATTTTGATTCTGTTTTGTATCTGTGACATTGGTCTGCTAAAAAATATCATTTCAAAAAGGACACTGTAAAAACTGCATCTATGGAACTCACCCCAGCCAATGATGCAGAACTTGAGTATGTATCTCCGTATGTAGGTGTTGAACACTTTCACTAGAGCGATGTACATATGAACGGCTTCTAGTCCCATCCATGTAAAGGTGGCCAAAAGAAAATAGTGTAAAAGTACAGCAACGGCTATGCAGAGGCCATCTATGTCAAAAGATGCAATCCAACCATCAAGCAAGAAAGTCAAGTTCAGAAAGAGCAGAGCTGTGCTCAAATTCATTAGGATTTTGGAAGGATAATCTCTTCTTAGCTTCCTAGTGAGAGAAATACAGAAGCATAAGATTAATTGGTTCCAACTACCCAAGGGAAAGTCAGCACTTTTTTGGGCCCTTAATGAGCTACTTAATTGTCAAAATATTTTATCAACTCATTTATTTGCATTAGCAAATCTTCAAATTAAACATAATGCATTGTGTTGTGTACCTAAAATAAGGACAGAAAAAAATTAACAGCAAACTCTCAAAATATAGGTGGCCAGAGGTCTAATTACTTCATATATTAATATCTGCTACTTTTTAGAATGTATCATCCAGACCAATATATTCTGGTTTCTTCTGTTACTGGTGCTGTTGTCAGGGATTTTTTGTTTGTTTGTTTTTGCTTGCTTGTTTGTTTCTCTCTTTTTGTAACTGAAACACATTGAAATGTATGAACTGTGGGGCAACTTCTGCCATCTTGGACAAAAACACTATACCTTAGGTAATGCAATAGCAATGCAATTATTAGAGATTTATTTAGAACTATTTTTGAAGATCTCAGAAGCCCCCTATTTTTTCCCTCAGAAAACTATCCTTTAGTAGAATGGCAGGATGGTTGCTTTGCATTGAGGTGACTTCATTTTCTCTTTTGACTGTTCATACAGCTGCATTATTTCAAAACCCTTGCATTTCCTATAGTGCTTTGTTAAAAGTGCTTTATAACTTGGCTTCATGGCTGGTTTTGTTGTTGTTGTTGTTGTTGTTTTTGTTTTGTTTTGTTTTATTTCCTCACAGAAAGCCTGGCTGTGAGTTTTATAATATAGATCTATTTTGGACCTAGAGAATATCATACTCATGAGAGAGTATATTGGGTCCCACGAACCTTGTTGCCTTGCCTGAGGAACACAGCACATTTAAAGCAGGAGAGAATATGAACCTAAGCTTCTTGAAATAAATAAATAAATAAATAAATAAATAAATAAATAAATAAATCTACTTCCATATTTGTGCTCAGAATTTGTTTTTTTTTGAATGCTTTCCTTCCTATGCAAGAAATAATATGAAAAACATATAGCTAATTTATCACATAGGCGTACTTCATTTGTAGTTTTTTTTTTTTTTTACAGCACTAGTACTCACTCAAATGCAATGTATGTCAGAAGAGTTGCAGCTGAAAATATAGCAGATATCCCACAGCCTATGTAAGTGATGAAAGTGAGGATCTTGGTATTCTGTGGGTCTATTTCTGTAGTGGTTCCCTGAAGGTCCTACGGGAGACAGAAGGAAGAGGCGTCAGTTGCAGCACAACACTCTTACTTGGTAATTAGTCAAGCGAAACTTAGAAACACTTTGGCAATAACAGCATAACTTGATGTCAGGGTTCATGTTTACCGAGAATACTCAGTTTATAGTTGTTACACCTCTCACTTCCTTCCCACTGTTCTTGAAAACACTGTGCTGTGAGAATTATAAATGCTTGTTTCAGCAGATAGACAGAGCTTGATGATGCTCCTTACAATTCAGTACCAGGAATTTCGATGTCCTTCTGTGGAAAAAATCTTCCCAGATAAAATATATATTTTTTAATTTCTGTTGCTTATGCACAACTCTCTTTAAGACGATACGAATGTTGAACATCTATTGAAAAAGTAATCTAAAAATTGTTCATAATGAAATACACAATGTTCTGGGGAGTTTCTGACATCCTTTCTTATTATTAGAAGAGCTCATAAGAATCAGTTTACCTAGTTGTCTATAGGTGAAACCAAGGGCAAGATATTGTTCTTTGCATTTATGGTCTGTTTTGACATGCAAACTACAGTTATATATAGAATTGCTCAGAAAAATAGTGACAACGTTTCAAAAAAAGATTGGAAATGAAGTAGGAACATTCGGGGGATTTTTTTTTTTTTCCAGTTCTCTGTCCAACTGTAATTGCCACATAGTCCTGTCTGAGAATAAATGCCAGGGTTATTTCCTTTTTTAAGGGAAAGAAAAAATGAGAATGTTTGGATCTATATCACCATGGACTGTGTGAGCAAAAATTAGCATTTAATATCATTTGCTCTATAGTCAGTGGAACTGTCTTCCTTAGAAAAAAAGATAGCAACATCTAGCAGAAAGAACCAACAGAAGGCTACAGAACATGCTATTCTTCAGAAAAAAAGTGAAGGAACTGTATGCAGCTTTTCAAACTCTGTCCCAACCTTGTAACAGTTTATGTATGTAAAGAGATTGTTATTTGAAAATAATTTAATATCTGAATTAAAGTCAGATAAGATTATTGAAATGGAAAAGCAACTGGAAGGTTCAAAACTGTGTAAAAAATCTGTAGGAACACAGCCCCAATTCAAAGAACTTCTCCCTTATTTCTTAATGTCACTAAAGCATTTAGGGTAGAGAAGGAACTCATTGAGCATATTCTAAAGAAAATCCCTTCCCTCCCCCCCTTCAGGGATGAAAAGTGAAACAAAACCACAATTTAGCTTGCGAAAAGATAAAAAGCTTGTGACTATTTCCCATTGACATCTGAGCATGATGTAAAGAGAGCAACTCTGTTAGGAAGGCTATGCAAAGCCAAAACTGAAAAAGTCACTGCCTGAAAATCCCTGTCACAGAGAAATCCATTTTGTCACTGCAACAATTAAAAAAAAAACAAACAAAAAAAACCCAACCACATCTATTTTCATTAGGAGCATTGCTGCGATAAGAACTCAACAGGTTTTCAGCAGTTTTTAATCACAGGCCAAAGAATAAATTTTGGAGTAAAAAAAATAAAACAGGTTTGCCCTATTACTGAGGGTAAAAAATCACAAAAATTTAAGCTGAGATAGAAATAATTCATCCTTTTCATGTTGAGTTTTTTTCTTTCAAAAACACATCAAACAGACAAATTACGGGAGACATCCAAATATCACTATGCACAATCATGCCCCTGAGGTGGAAGGTATCCTCGTCCCTCTTCTTGATATGCTAATCTTTATCTATCTCAGCCACGCAGTTTGGAGGTTTTGCCTAATCTTCTGATAAAATAGGAGTTATATATGTTTTGTACCAGCTCTTGCTGGGCAGAGGAGGGTCATGAAGATGATCAGGGGACTGGAGCACCTCCCCTATAAGACAGGCTGAGGGAGCTGGGCTTGTTCAGCCTGGAGAAAAGAAGGCTGCGGGGTGACCTCATTGCAGCCTTTCAGTACCTAAAAGGAGCCTACAAACAGGATGGGAATCAACTCTTTGAAAGGGTAGATAACTGCAGGACAAGGGGAAATGGTTTGAAGTTGAGGGAGGGGAGATTTAGGTTGGATGTCAGGGGGAAATTCTTTACAGAGAGAGAGGTGAGGTGCTGGAACAGGCTGCCCAGAGAGGTTGTGGATGCCCTGTCCCTAAAAGTGCTCAAGGCCAGATTGGATGGGGCCCTGGGCAGCCTGGTGTAGTATTAAATGGGAAGGTTGCTGGCCCTGCATGTGGCAGGGGGGTTGGAGCTTCATGGTCCTTGAGGTCCCTTCCAACCCTAGCCATTCTGTGATTCTGTGATTCTCTACTGCAAAGCAACTCCAAAGCTGATCAAATATATACATCTTTTAAAAAAGAGGAAGTAACAGTTTATCAGTTTTGTTAAATAAAGTATTCCAATTTAGCCCCTTGAATATTGAGATGAGGTGGAATTACTGTGTTCCATTGTCTTGACTTTTCGTTCTCATTAGCTATTACTCTGACTTTAGGACATTTTTTTCTCCCTGATCATTTTCCCTAAAAATACAGTGCTCTGCTTTTTGTTCTGAAACCAGTGCCTCACCTCTTCCTCTAAAAAAAAATATTTCTCTACTTTTTTTCTGTGAACATTTTCCTACTTTTTCCATTTTGCTGCTGGAAGATTTAGTACTGTTCCTTCATTTTATAGTGTCTTATTCTGGTCTTCTTTTTCACCCAGCCATGTCTTGGCTTTGAAATTGGATAATATAATATGCTATTTGCTCAGAAGCCTTTGCCCGAAATCTTCTGTGGCACAGTACTTTCCAAAATACAGAATACTTTTATGGGGACAATTTTATTTCTTTTTTATTTAGCCACATCACTTTATTTGTTTTTGGTGATTATCATTAGATATTTTGTTATGAAAAGAAAGTTTTATAGGAGGAAAATGATGTATGAAAATTAAAAATCATGTATAAAAGGAATAGCTCACAAAACAAACATGAATGAGGATAGCTGTCTTGACTGATGAGAAAAACTACGCTATGGTTTCTAGGAAAGACAATCTAGTGAACAATAAGAGTTTGCCTACCATGAGTACCCCAAAGTGTGTGAGGTGGTTGCATAAGCAAACTGTTTCATTTTCATTGGAGTCTGCTTGCACTTCACAGCCCGTAGGGTTCCAGCCACCATTGCCACCTGTAAAAATGGAATAGGAGTAACTTTACTTCCCAACAAACATCTATGATCTTCTCATTGGGTTCTTCATCTCATCTTGAGCAAAAGCGGAAATGCATAAATAATAAACATATAACACAAGTGGATATTAGAAGCAATCAATCATTAAAGAAGAAAGGGTTAGATTTCTTAGTTTCTAAGAGAATTCCATCAGACAAGTGTCCCAGTTATGGCCTACTGAGAAGAAACAAGGGCTATAGTAAAGTTAGGGAATTTTTTAGCTAATGAACAAGGATCATGCATTTAGACACACGTTAATTTTACCCAAGGATACAATGGTTTTAGAACTCCTTTATACCACCCTGATGTGATGTTTGCACCTGCCTTCCTCCTACTCACATATCCCCAGGCACATGAAAGCATTTATGGCCTACAAGCATAGGATCCCACCCTTCCTCTCTGCAGTGTGTGGTACAAAAGATCAGAGTGGATATTCTCAGATATTCTTAAAGAAAACATGAAGTAAACTATCCTCTTCTTATCCCATTTTCTTGAAAAATAAAAGTAGAATTATTTAAAAAAAACTGTAAAAAAGTAATATTTGCATTCCTGATAACTTCTTTCATTTTTTTCTCACTCCAGTATGAGCTAATTTTGAGAAACTGTTCATGTTCTCTGACCTTTTCAGGATGTTTTGCCAACTGTAGGAAAAATTCTGCAAATTATCTGTCAAACCCCGTAACTTTACCTCCAATTCAAGACAAAATCTTTCAGAAGACTGTGATGTTCCAAAATCATTCAAAACTGTTTCTCCTTGGATGTGCTTTATAAATTTAGATTACTAATTAGTTCTTTCTTTTCTCTCTCTGTTTTTATTCTTCTACATTCTCCCCAGTAATTATGACCGACTTTCCTACTTTCATCTGCTATGTTGGACAATAAATTTTAGCAGGATATCTAAGAAACATGTATCTATCTGATTAGCATTATTATTTGATTTTCACATACAAACAGATCAGTGAAGAACAGTTATCAGATACAGAAAAATAAAGAAACATTACAAATTTAAAATGTTAACCAAGATTACAAGCGAAATTTTTAATAAGAATATTTAACATCTGCTTTTACAAGTGACTTTACTAATAAGAAGAAATGATGTAGTGTAAAGTTGTCACCTAATTTTTCAAATTGATAAAGAAGCAAGAAGAAACAAAGACAGTGACTGATTTTTTATTCACATAAAAGAAACGACGGTATTTTTAAACTTACCATTTTTGGCCATATCCCAGAAGACACAGGTTGGCTTAGGATCTTCCTAAGAACACACAGAAAAGACTATTTATACCTCTGCAGATACAAATCTCATCAATACATACATTTTCAGAAAATGTTTTTCTATGTACATTTCTGCTAGAAAGACAGTACAAGCAGTAGAATCCTGCTAGACCTTATTCTTCCAGAAAGACAGATTTGCACAGATTACAAAAAGGAGTATTATCTTTCCACATCCTCAGAATGAGAACATTTTTTTTTCTCACTAAAGTAATCCATGAGTATGATGTCTTTACAATGTCTAAGTATTGTTTTATTGTTTATGTCTCAGTGAATCCTCTATGTAACTGGCCTCACAACCATGCAAAAGTCTGCTGAACTTGAGTGGAGGTTGTTGTGCCTAACCTTGAAATAGTTATAAAACCAAGAAGTAAAGTGAATTGAAATGTCAAAATAATGAATCAGCTTATCACTGTGTAAAAAATCTACCTATGTACTGAATTTCAACACCGTCTTTCTTCATTTCTCTAATGCTGTTGTCTCTTTTGCAGTAACTACTGGTAGCTGTGGTTTTATATTTTTAACTGAAACTGTAGGTATCGAAGGGTAGCACTGGGGCTTTATTTCCATGAATTAATTATATCTTTAAAAAATGTGGTTCTGCCCATTCTTCTTGTACAGAAAACCACATAACAAATATATATATATATATATATCTTTGGGAATTATTAATGAAGAAATTTCTGTTTAATCAAAGAATTTAAGTCATTTTAAAGTTCCAGCTTAATAAATAATGTCCCTGGTCATGAGCATTGTCATAAACTGATCATGAACATGGGTTTTACAAATAGTTATTTGCACACATTGCCTCTGAGTGCCAGAATCAATAGTCTTTCTAATAAATCATGGATGGATTAGGAATGTGTGAGAATGAGAGAGATTATTTATTTTTCACATTTTGCTTACTTGCTTTGTTAGAGATTTTATTTACATTTGAGTTAATATACAAAATCTGCTAAAATCAATGAAGATATAAGCTCAGTCTTTACTAATAGGTCACTCTATAAGTAATGCCTCCTAATTATTTCAGTAGAAACTACAACAGATACAAAGGACACAATGCCACCACTTGATAGAGAAAAGTCTCAGCTGCAAAATGCTATTTTTCAGCATAGTCACCACCATTAGCTGTGAGTTTTTGCAAGCAAAGAACAAGAGCTTGAATGCCATGCTTGTTTTAGAAATGTGCCCCAGTGGAGGTGACCCACTGCTGCTGTTACCACTGCTGAAACACACTACTCACTCCCTCACTGTGCTCACATCCACTGTTTGGTCTCCACCAATGCTCAGCAAGTGTTGATGAATGTCAGTGAGTGCCATTTTTTCCCCATGGAGAAATTCAGTGACACACCTTTGCTTCAAATGCACTTCCACGTCAGATAGCATCTCATCAGACTACCTGTCTGTTGCCATCTGTCTCACAGCAAAAAAATGTTCAATCTCTACTGCCGTACTGCCTCATCTGCCACTGAGGTTGTGGGCCATGATAATAAGATACGAGGCATTAATTTTGAAGTAGCCCTTTTATACATATCTGCATTCCTGTTCTTTTGAATAATCAGTCTCTTCTTACTTGAATTTTGGTATGTTTAATTGTAATCTTCACATATTCCTGAAGATCTCGAATAGTTATGTTTCCAATACTGCATGCCACCACAAAACTGGTCAAGTTTCCAGGAGTTTCTGCATCCTTTAAAAGATTCAGAAAAAAAACCATAATTGCTTACATAGCACATAAAAGAAAAGCCAGAGTACACTTTCATTTTCGTAGCATGCCAGAATAAATAAACTATCAGCATTTTTGCATTTTTGATCACGTAATGTAATAACATTCTGTTTATAAACTAAAATAATGGATTTTCTTCATGAAAGTTTCCATATTTTCTTTATAGTCATAAAAATACATAGGCATTATTACAATGAGAGGTTAGAAGGTACCCTTTCCCCTTTTAATAATTTTGTCTAATGCCACCAAAGTTGTAACTCAAACAAAGTAGCAGATAACAAACCATGATATGATAAGCATATTTCCCTACAGGAGAATGAACTAGCTTTCTTGTCTTGATGTGGACGCTATTTTAAAAAATTTTTTTTTTGCTAGGTGCAAAGTTTTTGGAGAATGTTCTGTTTCCTATGGACAGTTGTTAAGCCATCCTCCATCTTATTATCATATAGTGAAAAAACTCAAAGGAATACTGTAAGGTCTTATTTAGTGGGAATGTAAATAGAAGACTGAAGATACTAATGCCATCTATATCTTTAAATGAAAAATATCAGGTTGACAATTTTCCAAAAAAGAAATTTTCCTTGTAATCTGAGAATTTATTAAAATGGTTGTGCTTTGAAAATTTGATTTTCCTGTGAAGAAGCTCCATCCAAGTCTGAATGGCTATACAGCTGGTTGTCCCTTTGGGAAACCAGAAACTTCCAGGTCACTACGTACTGCAATTGCCTAAAATTAAGTGTTCACTTCATTGGTTTTAAGGTATTTTCCCTGGTCTCCAGCTAGTCTCTTATCAGTTCATTGCCACATATGCCAGACAGTAATGCCTTTGTTACTTAGGGGGTCACAACTGGCACTGTGCTCCTTTGCTTGGGGTACTGATGCCTGCTCCAGCACTAGGATGTGTGCATTCCTTTCTATGATAAAGCAGCTTATGGAATTTTGGTCGCATGCTATGTTAGAATTTTTTTCTTTTGTTTTTGCGTTATGATTTTTTGTTATCGATATTCCACATCACAACATCATGTATTATATTATGCCATATCGCATCCTACTATCATATTTAGTAGATTAATTTTCTCCCTTTGCTTGTTGCCACTGTTTTGTTTTTAGGACCGTCTCCCCAGCTTTTCCCTTTTTGTCCCTTCTTACTCTCCCAGGGTGTGGGGCTGTGAGTCCCTCCACACCATTTAGTCATAGAACTGGGCCAAACTGGGCCAAAAACCGTTGATAGATTTTCAGTGAATGCTTAAGAATCACTTAAAATCACCATTAAATAAAACACTTAGACTTGGTATAGTTTTATGTAATTATGACAATCCTATATCCGTATTTTCCTGGTTTCTTTACTAAAGAATATTTATCCTTTTTCTCCAAAAAGTAGCCTTAAAATGAATACTAATTTAAATAGTTAAACATACTTCAGGTTGTATTTTAGAAGGTAACTGAGGGTCATGGGTAATTTCTTGCCTTGATTATCTGAAGAATCTGGATACACTGCCAATAAAAATGACAATATAGGAACAATGCAATACTACAGAGTTCTGCAGATATACAAGAGTCGAAGGTCACTTAAAATAGTAATGGGAAAACAAACTAAAGCCTTCTGAGTTATAGCTTGTAGTTTACTATAAAATATTTCCATATTAATTAAGTCCTTTTTCTTTTTTTTTCTTTTTCTTTTCTTTTTTTTTTTTTTTTTTTTTTTTCTTTTTTTCCAAGCTGCAAAACTCTTCCTAATCCTACTTTTCTTCCATTTATGTATTTTTTTTTTTTTTTTTATTTTTTTGCATTAAACATGAAGGAAATATTTATGATCAATATGTGCATGGACACAAAGGAGAAGAGAAAGACATCAATCTGGGTCCCTTTTGTTTTCAGGTACCAATATATAGTTATACTTATTCTGTGACTAGGTTGTCTGTAAATAGATCCAGACATCATTAAAATAAAGTCTGCTTGTGATAGCACACAAAAAGAATAGTATGTATAGAAAAAAATGTTCTCTGTACAATGGTAATCAGTCCAGAATTTCAGAGTAGATATAAGTAGCCCATTGGGTACGACTTTCAATCAACTCTTTCAAGGTAAAGAGAAATAACAGCAGCATTACAGGCCAAATTCCCAACTGATATAAAAGAACCCAGCTCCACTGAACACCAGTGACTTGTATAAAAGCACCTCTATAGAAGATACTCCCTATCAAGGGCCTCACTACTTTACGCTGACTGTAATCAGATGGGATCCAGCTTGCTGTGGATTACTCTGAAAAAAATGTTTACGTCAATGTCACAGGAAGGTACTGCTATTAAATTGCTCGCAGTAGTTCAGTGTGGATGGCTATTTTGTCACTCTGAATTCAAATGTCTCTAATGCCTACGTTTGCTATCACCATTTGATACCTACAGGAAATGTTTAGCAGCTGCCTTTGACTTACACTAGCTGAAATTACTTCAAACACACTGAAGGTTACCTGAAAAAGACCATTTTTATTGAAGAAAGTAAATTGAGCCCTTGATATAACTTCAATGTCATCTTGACTTAAATTCTTCAGTAAACTTGGTGGCAGAATGACAGAAGCAATGGCGTTTGTCTGATCCTTGTCAAAGTCTATCTGTTAAATAAAAACAACAGAAGAAAAGAACATATTCAAACAAAAAGCAAGCCATCCTTTGTCCACAACTGTGTTCAAATGCTTTATGAAGATATCTAAAACATTGAACTAGAACTTTCAACATAAATTTTACCTGTACCTATGCAAGATCCAATTCAATTTTTTTGTTTTTTTTTTTTTTAGTTAGCTGTGGAGGCTTTTTCACACAGCATGAAATTAAGTTTTTGCTACAGGAAGACAGTAGATTTAAAAAAAAAGAAAGAGCTCTGTTTCACTGATATAATGATGATTTGAAAATACTGAGATGGCAATTACAGCACTCTTAATAATTTTCAGTAACCATTAAGATATATTTCCTTGCACAAAACAATGTTGAAAACAGAAAAAATATACTCCAATCATTCTTTCTTTAGTTGTAATTTTGTGTTTGATCAAATATCTGAATTAATTCTCTTACTAGCTTTTACAGTTAGTATGTCACAGAAAGGTGACATTAAAATAATAGTTAGTGTCACCATTCTACAATTATCATGCAATGCAGCATAAAAAAAACCATTTTTTGTCATGAGAATAATCAATATTGGCAACATGCCAGACAACTGAAAGTCCTTTATGGCACATGAATGTAATAAGTGAGCAAAGATAAACGAGGATACAAGCTCGTTTTTCATTACCTATCTGTCAGTATGTCTATGACTGCCTGCTGTTACACCATGACAAACTCAATGTGTACCAGGCTATCCATCAGAAAGAGAGGAGTAATTCATCTAATACTGGCTATTGTAAAAGTGTTCAAGAATTTTACTGCAAGATAAGGAAATTCACACTCCTGACTTCTTCAGACCCAAGTTATATTTATGTCTCTGATGACTAATCATATGATTCTAAAAGCATCATTATTTATTAGAAGGCTACAAGTCATAGGCAACTGATAGATTTATTCAAATTCTAAATTTTCAGTGATTTACTGTGATTAGCAGGCAACAATGGAAATTAATAAGAAGTAGTTCACTTGAATGAAAGTTTGTCAAAGTGTAATTCTGCCACATTAAGCAAAAGATACGCATGCAATAAAGATGTCCCATTAGGTACTGTCTGCAAATGGAGTGGAAGAGGTTTTTATGAAGAAGCAAGGATATATTACAGGAACAATTTAATAATATGAATCACTATAACCTAACTTAGTCAAAGGTTTGGCAAGAAACAAAAAGACAAAAGGGACTAAAATAGAATCTTTCCAAATTACTATGGTTACACTTGCTTGATATCTACTTCAAGAAAAAATATGAAAGAAAATCTGGAAACACTCTGACATACAGTTTAAAGACTTTAAGGTTCCCTGACGATCCTAGATCATCACACTGCTGGTAAAAGTCCTGTGCTTTCAGAGGAGAATCTTCTTCCAGCAGGGATAGCAAGTATCTTTCTTGATAGGCATGGAAAATAGCAGCTGTGACCACAATAGTTGCTGAGTTTTCTGGTAGTAAGGGTGCTAAAAATTCTGGAAATGTAAAAGTCTGTGAACAATCTTGTGTTCCAAAAGGAACATTATAAATAACTTGACGGAGTTTTTATTTTATGATTATTTAGACAGTGCTCTAATAAATTATTCCAGGGCAAGAAAATTCCTGGATGTTCTCAAGCCACAGATGGTAATTCTTATTATACAGGCAAACATCCCAAGCCCAATTTCAGAATTTTTCCTTTCCTCTTTCCATAAATACAGAACGAAATCTGGAGAAGAAATATTACTTTGATAAAAATCAAAAAACAATCAGCTATTGAACGTCAGGGATGCTCCATCCCTGGAGGTAGATGGGGCCATGGGCAACCCTGGCCACGGCAGGGGGATTAGAACTGGATGATCTTTCAGGTTCCTCCCAGCCCAAGCCTTTCTATGATTCTGTGATTAATATGAGAGCTAAACAAAAGTAGATTTAAAATCATCAGACATTTCTAATAAAACTGATTCAAAGAAATGTTTAACTGAAATTTCTATGAATATGAATGCGTGAAACTCAATTACATTCAACCCATTTGCATCTATTTAAATCATCATTTGAGTTTTGCTCCAACGTCTACATAAAGAGCAAATAAAACACCAGTAGCCTATACTACTAGTACTACTAAACACTGCCTTCATTACTGCTTTTTGCTTTTAAAGTACATAGTAGCTTATGTAAAGATGAGATTAATATCTGGCTAGTTTGTTGCATGAATGAATTTTGTTCTGTTAGATGCTTACACTCTAGTGATTATTCTTTAAAAATTATCATAGTGTTATGTTTAGTCTGAGTTTAGATTTGGGTTCTTTGGCCCAAATTATAGTAGATTGCTGGTGTTTTTTTTTTTTTTTTTTTTTTTTTTTTTTTTTTTTTTTTTTTTTTTTATGTTTTTTTCTTTTTAATCCCAGTAGCTACTGTGCATCTCAGATGCTATTTCATAGCTATTTCATAGCTGTGTATTTTCATTTGTGAAAAAAAGATGAAAAAATATTTTTGAAGTGATGACAAATTACTATAGCAGCCTGTACTGTAGTACTGGAGATCATTCTGCATTTTGAGGGATGTGTCCTTTTATTTTTCATGCGTTCGTGATGATCGGTCAAGACCTGTGTGAATGTCTTGAACACTCATGGACATCCCAGGCAGCAATAGCCTAACAACCTTCATGTGGACAACTGGATCAGCCTTACGCCCCTGTTAGCAGTATTTACACTGTACAGGAAGGTTGAATATCTACTCAATCTGCAGAAAGCTACGCATATATATATCTACATTCACTTGTCTCATGCTAAACCTGAAATGCATTGATAAAGTTGTTAGTGCACAGTGGGTAACACAACAGGCTGTTAAATATGATTTTCCCTTTTCATTGGTTTTTTAAAAAAAAAAGAAAAAAAAAAGAAGAGGAAAAGATAAAATCTCTTCTGCATTTGTAAGCAAATAATTTTTTATCCATACGGAAGATATGGGGGTCCATCTGGTATTCCTGTCACTCAAATAAATGCTGCGCTAACCTGTTTGGATGATTACAGGAAAAAAAGGAAATAGAAAGCAGGGGGGGAAGTAGGGAGTTGTAAGCAGTTTCATAAAAAGATAATAAATAAACTTGGAATAACAGTCACATTTAATGTTCAAACACAACTGCCCATGTTACCTGGAAATCAGATGCATTATTCTGTGGACTGACACTGAAAGAAGAACCTTTGAATGAAGTTGAATTTACAGAAGACACTCCAAGTGCAAGATTGCGTGTTGAAATACTCATGGATGGTCCTGTGAATTGGATCTTTAAAGCCAAGGCATCAATAGTTTTAAGAGCTCTGAAAACAGAAATAAAATTATTTTATTCTACTCTATATGCTCTCCATGTATTCTCTTCACCTTAAGGCAATCCTCTTATGCTTCTGTCACCCAGTTTTGTATCCACAAGGAGACTGTCAAGCTGTAAACACACGTGTATCTTTTGAACACAGAAGGTTTTGATAGATAGAATTTTTCTGATTTGCATGTCACTGGTCCTGAAATTGTCTTCTGACAATACCTTAATATACGCTGTGTCATTCACCAACAGTCTTTTTTTCCATTAAAAAATTTTGTCATGTACATTAATTTTATTACAAGAATAAATATCTGCTTAACTTATTAGGAATTTCTTTTCACAGAAATCAGAAAAAAATGATTTCTTTTATGGTACTTATAGGGAAGAATGAATCAATTTCCTAAATTTTTTTAAAAGCAAATGCAGAAATACTTACTCTGAAGATGATGCTGCCAATACACTGTCTGAACTGTTTAGAATATTGGAAAAAATTGTCACCACAGTAGAACCCAGAGATTCATCAATTTCTTCATCATTCACAATTTTTTTGAGTTTCTGGACAACATCGTTTACTTTGTCTGAGGTAAGCTGCTGCCCTTCACCAGTGAGATTCAAAAGCTGATTGGCAATATCAGCTGCATTTTCTGTTGAAGCAAAAATAGTAAATAATCTGTACCAATCTTGAGGTAATTTAAAAATACAAATTTTTATCCTCATTACTGAAAATACAGAGCATGTTCTGTGGTACTTATAATAAACATGAAACTGTATTATTTTACCTCATTCATGTTTTCATTTAAAGCATATCTAACCTGGTAATTCTTATATACTGTCTGCATGGGTTGTGACTTGCTTTACACTGATTTGATCTGATTTTGTAAATCAGAGCAACTACTGAAACGGCTGATTGATAGAAAGGGGATTAAGAAATAAAACCATATTTTCTTTTTTCTTCTCTTAATGATATTGTCTTTTTTGGGAAGAGATGGGAAAACCAACAACAAAACAAAAACAACAGTGACAAACAAAAAACAAACAAAAACCAACAAAAAAACCCCCAACACCTGCTTCTGTGTCCCCCTTGAAGCAAAATCAATGTGTCCCAAAGTCACCACTACTGACAAAAAATTCACTTTTCATCTCTGGGGAGAAAGTCTGACCCCACCATGAATGTTGTCAATTCATTTGCATGAATGCACTCTTACTGATAGGGCTGGGCAATACAACACAGAAGCAAATTTCATGAGAAGAATCTTCCTACTAAGGAAAGGTTGACATTTTGTTTAGTGACAAAGCATTAGTATAAACCGAATGTTAAACAATGCTTTGAGCCATCTGGATAGAAAACTAAATACTTAAATTTTACAATGTCAAATATTTTATATTTACTGAAAAATCACAAATAAGATTTCAAGAGAACATCAGCCTTGTTTGGTCTGAATGTGATTGTGGGCTTTTCTAAAGCTGAGTTTTATAATGCAGCTTTTACTATGTTTGCTGCAGAGTGTCCATTTCAGAACAAAAAATGTTTTCATATAGTGTGACTATAAGTACTCATCACAATCCACTAAATTAGGTCAGGCTCCATATGAAATCCCCATCAGTGGTGTAAGATAAAAAGTCTTCTATGGGAAAGCAATGCAGAAGGAACAGCTTGCTGTAGCTCTGAGTTAACTTTGAGAATATCTTGCTTTTCACTAACTCTGGCACTAAAATAGAGTGGAAAAAAAAAAAAAAAAAAAAAAGTTTTCTGTTCATTTTTTAACTCCTTTAACACCAGAATGATATCAAGGGGTACTTTTCAAACTGATAATAAATCTGAAAATGCCTGATCATAAGCTCTGTGAAAAGAGTAGAATTCTTTCCCCTGGTATCTATGGTCATCGGAAATATTTAAAAATTTGTACAAACTTGAGTATCAAACTGGCGCAAGCTTCCTGCCTCTGTTCTCGATGAAATTACCTGAAGAATTTGATTTATTTCATTAAGTGATATCCAGAATGGGTGGGTTGGATTCAATTTGGTGCACTTCCCTAGAACTTTGTCCATATGTTTTTCTTTTTAAAAAACAAAACAAAACAAAACAATAATGGTAAAAATTAGGAATACATTCTGCCTTAATGTAACTTTCCTCCTTATAGTAGTTAGAAACCAAAATGTACAAAGCTGTCACTTTAGCCAAAAATCAGTATCTATACACCTACCTGTGCAATTTCTAAGATCTGGTTGGCCCCAGTATGATGTGTAATTCTGCAGACCCAAATAGCTAAAGAGGAAAAATGACAAAATGTACATGAAATACATGAAATGGCGTAATTATATAGATGTTTCATAATTGTTTTGCGTGTGTCATAGTGATACAATATTGTTGATTCGCAAATTTTCTTGCAATACTAGCTCACTGAAATTAAATGTATGCTAGACAGTGGACATATGTGATCTGTAGAGTGACGGAGTTGAGAAAAACTGCAGTTCCTTTGGACAAATTTAATGCTGATTGCAATACTGACTTGACAAATTGATTAACAGAAAATGCGTATTTCAGAAAAGACCCAAAAATTGACACAAGCTATTATGTCCCTATTTAATATAGTCTAATCAGATGCTGTTTCTATATTTTTTCTTTGATATAAATGGCTTTGATCAGGTCAATAGCAAGCGTTAATACCTTCAGAAGAACAAGAACAGGGGCTGTGCAGAGATAGAATATTACACCATCTATGAAAACCAGAAGGTCACCATCAGATACAGGTTCAAGATGAGTGACAGGCATAAAAAGACTGTAAGCTTTTTCAAAATGTTTTTCTATAAAACCTTACCATAGCAAAATTCCCACACATGGCTCAGAAATTAAGCACACTTCTTCCTAGATTTCCTTTCAGGAGAACCATGATACCATAGTATAACAAAGACAGGATTGAGAAAGGGAAAAATTTAGCCTTTCACTCAGTACATGCTTGAATAAAGTTATTCCGTGTTTGCTTGGAAGCACAAATCTAGAAAACACTACGGGGACAGGTTTCTTTGTCTCAGAATAAAACACACCATACCTGTCCTCCGTATAGATAAAAGCTAATGTGGGCATAGAAAACACAGTGCAACACAGAACACAGTAACTTATTTTAGAAGTGTGGCAGACAGATAACCAACACTATTGTTTATACCACAAATGAATAATAAAGATAAGCAATACTGGGGCAGCAAAGGCCAGAAGGCTTAATTTTTAATGATTTGGAGACTGACATAAAAACAATCTGACCCATGCGCTACTTACTTTAAAACAAAAGTTGGTCTATCAGAATCTAGCTGTTCTTGTATAAGATTATGAGGCTGAGGAAGTGAGTTAGTTAAAAATAATGCTGATTGTTTTCCTGTTTGGCATAGAACCTCAAAGCTGATTCCTACCCATGTTGACATATTGTTTATAAAAAGTGAAAGATCTAGTCTTCTCAGAACATGTTCCAGATGGAGTGGGTGGATGAGACTACTGTATTGCAATAGGATGATTGTTGATCATCCTAAATACTGAAGAGATTAATTAATACTGCATTCAAGACACTCATAGGAGATCAAAGCCATATTATTCTAGTAATATATCAAAGGAAGTCATAATATTCTCTTTTTAAAGAGGGGAAATAGAACTACAGTGTTTAAATAATTGGTTGATGTTCACAAAGAAAGGCTATATTAGGGAAAAATTATCCTCAACCTTAAAAGCTTAAGTCCAAATCTTTGAGCATTAGACTACCCACCTTCACATATGACTAATTACTAATAACATTCTTGTTTCAAAGGATTTATTTTACCTTCATTTAACTGGATAAGAAGTTCTGGATTGAATTAAATAAATATACTCCTCATCTTTGCAAAACTTTTGTCAAAAAGTTTCTTGCTCAAGTTGAGATTGGTAGTCAAGTAGTAGCAGATATTTGATTTTGGCAACGTTAACATCACAAACTGAAGAAAGCATGTTTGTTCAGTAAGAAGGTGCTATTTTCACTTTGATCATGTATTACATCCTACAGCAGTAGTAGATAAGCTTTTTTCTCTTATTAATGAAGTATGTACTCGTACTGCATACACATGTTCTCTCACAGCATAGAAATCATCCTTCTGAGATATGGTATCATTCAGTGGCATCTGTTGTGGATGATAAGGTCTAACTATATAACCAGAAAACTGAAGCTCTCAGCTTCTCTGGTCTTTAACTACCTACCAGGTTCTTGATGCAGTCTGAACTGAACTCCCATGGCAAAATGTAAAGTTGGTAACTGTTGGTCTGGTGTCTGGCCAAAAATAGTTTGGAGGGTTTTCTTCAGCTAAACATTTCTCTGTAAAAATAAAAACATCTCAATTAGTGTTAATTACAAATTTCTTCATTTGTGTTCCATTTCTGTACTAAGCTCACTATCCGTTCTGCAGCATGTAGCTCTCTTCAGATGAAATGCTTGAATGTTTTCCATAGACTAGTGGTAAGGGAGGGTGTACAGCAAGGGACAAAATATACTGCTACTGATGCTGAAGGAAAAGCACTGAATGTGCAAACTGCATCCATTTGAGTTCCACCAGCCTCTCCCTTTTCCCTACCAAAGGAAGAGCAATCTTGCACTAGAAGATGACTGCAAAAATATGGGGGATTCACAATAGCTGGAAGAAGATTGATTAAGGACAGTGGTTGATAGAATCACAAAGCGGGCTGAGGAGAGGATATGAGGGTCCTCAGTGGTCAAAAATGTCTCATAACATCTCTGGCTGTATATCATACTTCTTTATCCTCAAACAACCAAACAACCAAAGCAGTCAAAAGGAAATGTTCTAGCCAATTTTGAACCAGACAAAAAAAAAAAAAAAAAAAACACTGAATGAAGCAACCTTGACAGCTCTATTTGTTTTAAAAGAGATATCTTGATATCCCTCTGAGATCAATGGAGCAATGAAAAGGGACAATTCAAAATCTGAGATAGCTATACTGTTTGGAAATGTATGATTATTTTAACATAGGAGATGCTTATTTTTGGACATTCAAATAAAATCAGTTGTGTAATAAGGCTGAATCTACTTACCCACTGGATCAACTTCCACTGTATGAAGCCTATATCCCTCTGCTATGGACTCATTATTACTTATGAGCTTTTGTCGGATGTCTTGCTCTTCTAAATTGATGTTGTTGGTAGCATTATAAACCAGAAGGGCTAGAACCTCAAAACTGCAAGAAAAATTATGCAAATGTTTGAGTCAGAGCAGCAGATCCCAAAGATGTGGAAATAAAAATATTTGACAAACTCTAGTTTTCTCAGTAAGAGCGTCACCAAGATGCCAAGAATATTGTTTGTTACTTGTAAATCATACAGCAACAGGAAAAGAATGTATGGTTGGGAAATTTCATCCTGTAGTTACCATTAAAGAAGCAGCTCACTAATAAAGCCAGTAAATATTTTGAGAAGATTTAGATTACCTCAAGATATTTTAAAAGATGAAAGCAAAAAATATTCTCCACTGTGAGTGCCCAATGCCCATTTGTAAACAGGTCCTAATTAAATCCAAAAATCTGGTTGCTAATGGCTTAGCAACTTAAAAGCTGTAAAGCTTAGAAGCTTTACAGAACTTGTCAGGCTGGAATAAGTCATCCTCTGGAGGGCCTTTCTCTCCACTGACTACTGAATAAGACTAGAAGACTAATAAAGAATAGATGCCTACTTTTCAGATGCTCAAATCTTGATGGAATGAAAAACACCCTCATACATTTCTATGAAGTGTATTTTAGTTCTAATTAGGAAAATCTAGTTGCTCAGATGAGTAATTCAAGTTCGAGCAGTAATAGCTGTTTTGTACTACAGCCCACTGCTACTTTCTCGGGCTTAAGAAGTAGTTCAAAGTGCCCAAGTCTCTTTCCTGTGAGAGAAATAAAACAGTCTCCACCCTTGTCCAAAAACATAGCTTTTCTGGAAAGAAAATAGTGAACGGGAAAGAAGTTCTAGCAGGACACAGGAAAGAAATTGAGAGTGGAAGGCTGAAAGATTTCCTCCTGGGACACAGAAAACCCATGTTGGAGAAGAGAATGTGTTGGTACCCAAGAGCATTGCTTGGCTACGGTTAATGGGAGATGACGCCACTGAAGCATGGAACATTGGATCTTCATGGGGGCAGAAATGTGGAAAAAAGGAAAAATCAAGCCTGCTTTGGGCTGCCTTCATCTTAGCCTTGCCCTTGTATACCCAGAATCTTGAATTAAGACAGACCTTCCTGGTGTGTGATCAGTTCCTGGCAGCCTGGGAAGTGGCAGCACTGCCAGCACATACAGTGAGCACCAAACAAAGCGTCTTTCACTGGGGGGACCCCAAAGCCAGGAAATAGCAGTGAGCTGCTGGGTCTGGAATGCTTCTTGAAGAATAGAAGACAAAATCTGCAAGGGTGCTGTACAGGAGTGGGCTGGGAGAGATTTCTGGAACCCCCTCTTAGATAGACTGATGCCAAAAATCTGCCTCCAAATGACATCCCAGAGCTGTTCTTTCTGGAGGTGCCTAGTGTGGTACAGTACAAAATTAGTTTACTGTACGAATGTTGCTGTGTGATGACAGACTTAACTATCTTTCTGTCAGAACTCATGTTGAAAACTGCTTACCTCCAACAGATACTTCTGAAAAAAATCTCATTATTGAAATGGTATTAAAACTGGCATTAGAAATAAAAAACTTATCCTTCTAGGGGAAAAAAAGTAAGAAAAGCAAAGCCCAAGACTCATAAAGCCTTCAAGAGTCATGAATATGAGCTAAATACTCCACACATTTCACTATTTGACCCCTAAGAAAAGAATTACATATGTTACTGGTTGTTTGCTTTGTTTTCTTTTGAGCATCCGTACTCTTTTTTTCTTTCTTATATCTGCAGTTTTAACACACTGCTGAAGAATGAGATAAAAATGTGGTACAGGTTACCTGCTGGCTTGGCTTGCTTTTTTTTTTGTTTTGTTTTGTTTTGTTTTGTTTTGTTTTGTTTTGTTTTGTT